GCACTGAATTATTAAATTCCCGCAGTTATAAAATAAAATCATAAAATAAAATGCAAAGTATCAGAAATTCAGTAGTTTCCAGAAGTTTCGTATTTTGCTCACAGAGAGCTTCTCATCGATATATAATACAGTAGGTTGAATGTAATAATTGATCAGAATGACCACATTCCATTCATATCGACTCAAACTCGCGCAAAAAGACTACAAGTTGACAACGCCTATCGATCGGCGCTGAATCGTCTCCTGTCGTCCCTTCCACGCAGTCATGGCAGTTTGACAGACATGTGATAACCACAGCATGACTTGGTCGCCAAAAGTTTTAAGCATTTAAGGGCAAATTCAATCGATTCCAGCAGCCTTGCCACTTTTCAATCCTTTTACTGTTTCTGTGACTGCGTCCATTCAACGATTAATGTTTACCGAATGCTGCTTTTCACGCACATTTTTCTGCGACTCTTCACGGCTAAAAACTTCCTCAAGGTACTCCTTGAGAAGAGTACCTCTTTTGTAAGAAGGAGCTCCGAGTTGTCGTTCAGTATTCTTAGATTTCCCTTCAGTGCGTCATGGAGGCGGCCGATGGACTGTCAGAAGAATTTATTTACCATCATCGAAAATTTGACCCTAAGACATTAACAAACATTTCCCAGAAATCAACATGCTCTTGGATGCCGCTTTACGCGACTCTGCGCATCGCATTTGAGTTTCAGCTTGAATGCGAAGTTTTGCATGAAATCAAATGTTATTAGTAGCTTATCAGTGATCACGTGGCAAAGAGCACATCTTTAGGGAAAAATAGCACCGAGAGAAGGGGAGGGGCAGTGTCGACGGTATCGATTAGACCACAGAAACAGAGACTGACAATAAAGATGAAAGGTTTAATTCTGTCGTACATGGCAAAACTTGTATAAACTTCTGACGAAGAGAAAAATACAGTTCATACAGCATTTGACAGAATCGTGTCATCGAATTGTTGCATCTTGCTTGCAGCTGACAAATGCGAATGGCATTAGCCGAAACCTTGGTCCTGAATGAGACAACTTTACACCGCGTGTATTTTTAATAATTGGCAGGAGGAAAAAATTTGGAGTGAATTCTCTCCAGCTGCCAAGGTTGCCGTGATTATGAACCATGAAACGAGTGGCTAGCTAACCTCGGATGAAGTTGTTTTGAGCCAATCACTCAGTGGATTTATTTTACAAGAATAAGACAGAATTTAATATTTGGACCGCAGTTTGTTGGTAACCCACCCGCAAATATGAATATGGAACTTCAAAAACTCAACACAGAAAAACA